TAGTCTTTCATTGATGGCCTCATTATTTTCCACTACGAAGCGGATTCCGCAACTTGCAGCATTGGCCTGCCTCATAGCATGTATGGATCCCATAATGTCGGGCCGGGAAACAGTAACTACACCAGTATTGGATTGCTCTAAATCAGTGTGGAGGCCATCAAAAGCCACGCTTCCAGTCCATCCTTCCACCTTCCAAATCGATCCCCGTCCTGTGTCAGCAAGCGGAACACCAGAAACAAAGATCTTCACCTTTTCCAGATTCCTCTGGAATTCAAATTCTGGAAGTGACAATTCTCTAAGCAGATCGAGCCTGGCCTTGTCCAACCTGTTGCCTAGCTCTGTCACCGAGTGTGCCGCCAAGGTCAGGAAAATACATCCGATCTCTGGCCAGACATGCCCTGTGCGAATATAAGGGGCATTTCCTCGAATCTTTCCCTGATTGGAAAAGGTCACATTAATCCGATTTCGGATTGTCTCAATGTCGACACCCTCTGGCAGGGCAACCTTCTTTCGAGTGGCGAAACACATGGTGATGTGCCTCCCTTTGGCATTCGGGGTTGGCGATGAGCACGGTGGCGGCAGCACCGAGTTCAGTGTGTCTGGGGGTCCCATTGGTACCTGTCTGTATTCCTGCCGTGTCTGAGTCGCGCCTACCTTGACGCTGGCCGGGGCAGCTGGTCCGGATTGGGCTTCCGTAGTAGCAGGTATCGCATCCTTCGGAGCCGATTCCTGTTTATCAGTCTTCTCCTGAGTCTTGGCCGGGGTTGCCGCTTCTTTTTCCTTTCCAGCCTCTCTGGTAGCTTTTCTTCTCCTCCTGGCACCACCACTCAGGTGTTTGCCACGCTTCTTTCGTTTTTTCTTTTCATCTTCCTCCACACCTTCCTCCTCTTCCCAGTGAACCGACTTGCCTTCACCTCCTCGGTCTACCCGCAAGACTACTCCCCCTTCACTAGAGGAGCTGCCACTGCTGCTTGACTGGTGTGATGAGGGCACTGATGCATGCCTGGCAGGACGTACCCGTTCCTGTGGGCCAGCGGGGGGCTTGGGCACATATGCCATTCGTTTTACTACCTCTGTAAAGGAGGCCTTAGCAGTAGGAGCCTCCTTAGAGGCCTCCTCTTTCCCAGGGGTAACGGATGGTAGGGTAAGCTCCGACGAAACACCGGAGGTACAGTGAGGTACAGCTGGTGAGGAGCGGCGGCGCGGGGATAACCTCACCTGAAGGGCTTCAATTTCCTCCCCTTGCCTACCAACAATGTCGGTTAGTGCTTTTACTGCCCGTTCCAAGACATGAACTCGGCTCCAGTAGTTTATCCCGTTCCTTGGACCTTCATTGTCAAAGGTGGGGCCACTGTTCATCCAAGTTCGTACGTCCTGTACTGTTTTGTCTTCAATTGATCCAGACTCCGAGGAAAGGAGAGGCTGAGTATTACCAGACCCGATGTCCTCCAGACCTTCCAACATGGACCCCATTATACTACCTGAGCGGGGTCCAGAAGAGGGGGTCCTACCAGCGTCCAGCATCTCACAGACACCTGCCATAACTGAGTCTGCCTGGGCTACCACAGCGTCGGCGTCCTCTGGTTGGGTTTCTGGGAGTAGGACTTCCAGTGGAGCTGAACCTCCCCTAGGGGCTTCTGAGGAACCCTCTAGTTGGCCTTCAGGAGGTGACACCCATCGTCCAGTAATAGGCGTGGGTGATGAACCCATGGCTGGCGAAGGGGCATGTAAGTTGTCGCCCAAACCAGTCGCTTCCAAGTTGCGCCCATTATCCAGCTCCATAGGGGTATCCCTAGCCAGCACCTCAGAGGTGGGTAGTACATCCTCGGTCATCAGCGGCAATGGAGAGAGGGGTGTAGCCTCGATTGTCGATGGGAGTACCACAGCCGGAGGGATGGCCAGGCGTCCATGGTGAATCCCTAGGAGTAGGCCGGGAAGAGCGGGGACAATCTGTTTTTTCCGTCCCTCATCAACGTTGATAGCCCTCAAGAATTGGGGACCAAGGAGAGGAGCAGCAGATCGCTTAATGGGAGATGCCGACCGTGTTCGGCGGCGTGTTCCAGAGACAGGAGGGTTGTAATCCTCATCATCAGGGTCATCCAGCTTGAACTTCGGGGTTTCGTAAAGAGCCCTTTCGCCTGAAGACATTCCTGCCAAAAAGGAGGGGGTCCAGGAGCCGGTCCCAGTATTGTGGGCCTGGCGGAAGAAGCTGGGCATCTTGCTTTGGACAGCCCTAGCGAGGGGAGGAGTAGCGGACCAAGAGCTGGCCTCAACCGTGGTGGCAGTCGAGTTGTCCTTGGCGGGGGGAACGGAGGATTCAGGGACTACAGCCTGAGAATCTTTAGGAGGGGAAGGTGCGGGGGCAGGAGAGTATTCTGAGCCATGGTCCGAGTTGAACCGAATGAAGAGCCCTGTGGTAGTGTCCTTGCTCAAGCCACACGTGGCTGAACAGCCCCTCCCGATCAGGAAACCTCTCACCAAAACCTCCACTTCTTTCATTGTGGCAACGGTCGCGTCAGTGACCGTTTGCCGGACCAAATCATCAAACCGCGGGTTCACCGTGTTCTGACACCCGTGGCAGTGTTGGAACTGTAAAAACTTAAAGTTTCCTTTGGGTGCAACATAAGACCATGTGGTGGTAGGGATGAGGCCACGGCCAGCCTGAGTAGCAGGCGCAAGAGACAGGGCCGCACGGGCTGTCTCAAGCGAGGAGGAGGGGTTGGAGTCGAACCGAACAGGGGAGGACATCCTCGAAGGAGGGGGAGAATCCGTGGAGGAGGAGGCTGTCGAAGATGCCATCCTCGCCCAAACTACACTCAGTGATTACCGGGACCAGGCCACAGATATCTCATACTGAAGTATCTTCTAAGCGAGAACAACAACTTCTAACCGACTGCCCGAAACGAAAAACACAAACAAGTAACAGTAGATGAAGTATTTATCGCAAGCGAAATAAGGTACAGTATTGGTTATGCTCACTTCCGACACGGAGTGCAAGAAGTAGGAAAAGTACTTAGAACAAAGCATGAAGAGCCTATCCTCCTTGGACATGTTGGCCTCCTTATATAGTGTTCTTCCCGCCCGTAGTCATGTGGCCCAAAATGGTCACATCTGCGAAACCAAATCATAACAAACTAGTCATATGACCGAAGTAGTCACATACTCAAAACCCATGACCTCATAGCAATGTCGTATGTATAAACTCATAAACCAATCATAACACAATAAACATGTCATATGACTCGACTGAGTCATATGCGTGAAATCCATGACCTCATAACAAGGTCATATGCGAAACATAAATCATATGTGCAAGGCATACCCGCAAGGCACACTCGCAAGGTATACTCGTTAGGTGCGCGTCTCATGACTCATATTATCCATGTGTAAAAGCCTCACAAATCCCACACATAACAAATCCTATGACTCGAATGAGTCTTATGTGTGAAACAATAACATACCTGTGACTCATAACCATGTATCACGTGAAAACCTTTTCCTCGCCAAGCCACATTCGTGACATCCCGTTCTTTGAGATAAGGACTGGAGTACCATAACATCAAGACGTTATGTAGATAACATCTTGGTCCTAGTGCTTCAGCCTTTTTGGGAGCGAGAGAGTGAGCAGGCAACTCATCCTCTCTGGCTCATGGAGGACGTGGCTTCTGCTCACCGAGCACATTATACTTGGCGGATCAGGGAGTAATATAGCATCCCAAAGCTCCACTGGCACCTCACTTCTTCTGATCTCAACCCAATTGAGTACGTTTGGTTTATCCTTAAGGATAAACTAAACAAGCAGCATCCTAGGCCACACAGGTTGGAGGAAATAGGGGAGGTAATACGGGAAGAGTGGGATAGAATTTCAGAAGAGCATCTTTTAACCGTTGTCAATTCAATGCCGCAAAGAATACAGGCTATTATTGCTGCTGCTGGATGCCACACTCGCTGGTGAACTACAAATAATTTTTAATTTTTAATCCTTTGTATTTATCATTATTTTAAATTATTTTAAATTTTTAATATTTTGTATTTATCATTATTTTTAATAATTCTTAATATTTATTATCTATTTTAAAGTTTATTTACTCCAGCGATGCGAAGAATATACCTTTTTCATTAAATCCCCACCCTTTTGATTATTTTTATGCTAACTACTTTGGTGTCCTTGGCAAAGGGCTTCGGCAGACCCGGGACCGCCTAATGTTCACTCCGTTCATGCCAGGGACTTGTACGAGTACCGGCAAAGTTTGGGATTAGCAACTGTCGAGGCGTGTGCCTGTCTCCACGAGTATATGATTCGCTATTACAACTCCATAAGAAGAGTAAGTTTACTGAAGAACTTGTCGATGTTTGTACAAAGGGAGAAATGAGTCAGTCCTACTGACCTAGGAATGCCACAGTTTTAGGGGAGCCTCTCGAAAGGGTCCCGTTAAGCAGGTCGCGGAGCAGAGCAGCCTTTCTATTCCACCCTGTGGATGATTTGGGAAGGAATGGATGGTAAGGAGGAGGTCACCGAGGTGACTCCCAATCCTTCTCGGGCTCTAGACTATAGACTAGACGGCACTATAGACTAGACGGCGAGCAATTCTATTGATTGATAGAAGGAGATGGGGGACTTCGATCACGTTGTAGGTCAGAGGGAAGAGGGGCACTTGAGAATTGTGCATTGTGCCAACGCATCTCTGGCATGGATCAGTTTGAACGGAGTTGTGTGGGAGTGAAATAAAATGGAAATTAAGTGATTGTCTGGGACATTGTCCCCGTATCTGGGAAACTCAATAACTTACGGTAGCTTATTTTGCTTGATCATTGTCCAGTTACAACACACCTTGGTCTGGCAAAGCGCGCCTCTCTACGGTACTCGAGTATTAACTGCTTGCAGCTTGCATCATGGGGGGATACCGGCAATGCATTACCATTACCGGTACTCGTAAAGCAGCACCCGACTTTTTTTTTAAATTTTTTCTCCTCTCCTTCCTTTCCCTGAGAGAGTGGGAGGAGAGAGAGAGCCTTCCACCAAACACGTATCCCATCACACACTCTTCCATCCACGCTCAATCCATGCCACCGCATTTTGACGCTGGATACATAATCTACCGCACGCCTCATCAGTCCGTCCGTCTCCTACACCCACACCCATCCCGATTCATCCACAGTACGTCGGTCAAATCCCGTTCGAACAATTGTTGCCCTTGACCTGGCCATCGTTGTTTCGGAGAAGAAGAAAATCGAAGCAGACGCCTCGGGAAAATCAAATCAAAATAAGAATAAGAAAAGAAAAGAGAAGGAAAAGCAGACAGAGTGTCTGCGACTCGCCTTCGCGCTAATACATAACATATATACGGTATTCCACCCCACCAACCTTGGTCAGATCGACGCACCATCCCACCGGGCATTCGCTGCCTTTCTTTTACTGTCGCGTCTCCACTCAAATCCGCGCTGCCTTGATGGCAATGGCAACACGCAAGTAAAGAACGTACCAGACCCAATTGTTTTACTGGCGGTGAACTACCGTATTCGCAATAGGTCAAATCCCCTCGGAGTTGCTCTTTTCGCTCATATTCATCCACAGTCGCCGGTTATATATAAAGCGGCCTCGAGTCAATCCCCCAAGAGGTGGAGGGAATACAGCACCAGGTCACTGGTTAAGAAGCCGGTCCGGCACGGGTGACGTCGTGAGCCTACAATCCGGTTCAGCAAACTTGTGATTATAGTGAGTTTAGTCTCGTTCTCATTGCCTACTGGAGATCGCCCAGGTTACTCGTTCTCTTGTCAGTGGGCATCACCACCCGAATTTCCGTTTCGTGTATTCTGTGGCTGAATTGGGGGTGGCACACTTTTATGTGACGCCTGGTTCGTTTAATGCCTGTCCAATAGCTCATACTGGTACTCAAGTACAGTTCTGACTGGGTTAAAAGTCTTCAGAAGGTGTGCTTGCTTATTAGACTCCATCACCAGTCACTTATCAAGGCTTTGGGGAATTGATGCTCACTTGGCAGGAAATCAGCGGCTTCGCTATTAGAGAAAAATCTCAACTGATCTGGGGGGTGGGAGCTCTAAGCATGGTTGGCTCAGAAGTGGATCAGAAATACATAGGCACCTTTGCGAAGGATACGGCAGATCTGAATACGACGCTCTCGGCCGGCCTCTACAAACTCCTAGGCTTATCAACACTTCTTTCGCGGAAACTCTTGCGGGCCCGGAAACAGCGAAAGTTAGATCCGACCCGAACTACCAAGTCGCTCGACCTTTATCGCCACATAATATGGATGGCGCGAGAAGGCCTAACCATCCTACAGAATGAAATTCAGCCTGAAATGGCAAATTACGTAGGACCCAAGTATGCTTCTCTGGACGAACTTCGGGTGCTGGTTGCGAAGCTCAATGCCTCGTTCCTTCACATATTTGTTCTGTTTGATCACACATATCAGACAAAGACAGCTATGGTCCCGCAAGTTCCTAAGATGACGAATGGAGTCAACGGAATGGCGCACCTCAGCGGTTCGTTGGGGATAAATGGTCCGGGTGCCATCAACTCATCCTATGCTTACATCACACCTACCCTTGATGCCTTCAGCAGGGCGGAAGGATGTGCTCGTGAGCTATTGGCGGGATCGCATCCACTTAGGTTATCTGTGAAGTTGGAGTATAGTGCCTTTCTTTATGATTGCACGAAGGATTACGATAATGCTCGGCACACTGCACAGAGGGCTGTTGATGAGGCGGTCGCTTCCATGGATGCAATGCCTGATGACGAGGAGGCATTCGAAGATTACATGGAGTGTAAGTTTTTTGAGTTGTCTTCATACAACGAGGTCGGCTCAAGACTAAGACAAAATTTATTTAGTGGTGGGCAGCCTGGGCGTTTTAGCTAAGCGGGGAGAGCCATCTCCTAAGCCCTCTCCCCGAATGAGCGACTACATTGACGATATGGCCAACGGCCATGTGATATGAGATATGATGAGTCAGCTCAGTTACAACGAGGAACCTTGCAATGAGGAAGGTTTGTATGGGATTGTATCATAGGCTATGCGGAGTGGAGTGAATTTTTCGGTCGATCCTTAGTATTAGGATTTTCTACCGATGCGGAGGACTTTGTTCCTTTCTCTCGAGGGCGATCCCTTGCAGTGACATTACTTTTGAGTACGGTATTCCTTTTGTTCGAAACACTGAAAATGGTTTGCCAGGTGGTCGTTTACGTTTTTTATGTTAGGGGTTTTTTGGTATGCTATGGGGGCATGCAAATCGTTCCTTTTCCATTTACTTGGGGTGGGGGATTTTCGGTTTTTCTGCTCATCACAACTCTAGATTTGTGTTTGTATTTGATATCTTGCACATGCTTTTTTTTTTTCTTATTGCTGAAACATCTGTATGTAACGAGGTGACATGGGGTGGGAATCGTGCCAGTGTTAGTCTTGCTGGTGACGTTTGCAGATTGGGTTCTCTGCGGTTGAGGAATGGCAGCGCACTAGCACGAGAGCCTGCGATGAGTAGTGGAAGGGTATCGGAAGGATTTGGGTGGAAGAAAAATGTGTTCGGACATTGGAATTCAAGTTCCCCTTTGCCAGGAGAGGGGAGTGTTCGTACACCGCAAATTCAAGCCTTGAGGCAAAACACAAAGAATACCGTATGATCTCGTATAATTGGCTATCTCCGGAGCAAGGGTTAGCCTCTAGAGCACGGCAAAGTGAGGCCTTGCTAAGGGGGTGAGTGACTGGATGTGGTTCTGAAATTAAGGCTTTTCAGTGTTATGATACCAGCAGTTCACCCATTGCGAGATACTCAAGCTTCAAGTCTGAATTCGTTCTAAATTATTTACATATTTCACATTCTCATTATTCTCCACAGTGCTCACTATCCTTTCTGCTTTCTGTATTATGTTGGATCACCTTTCTCATATCCTGTCTGTAGTCACAATTGTATAACTAGTAAAGGAAAACTTTTGATATGAAGCTGAGTATTCTCACTTGGATCAATAGGGAGGGAAAGCCCCATCTACTTAAACACATACTAAATAATATTTATATCTTTCCAAGAAAACTTATAAAAAATATCATAAAAAAAAAGAGTAGTAATTCTCAGATAGTACAAGGAACTTTACCACATAAACTCCACCATCAATTCAAACATAAAGATCCTTGATTGATAACTTTACTAAGAAGAAGAAGAAGAAGAATTCAGTTCATCTAATGTATTCTAAGACTAGCTAAGGGGGTGTTTGGCCTACCATTTATGATTTCAAATTGTGAGTTGAAATCAAGTCTTGGCAAGTTTAACTTAGATTATTATTTCCATATTGAACTAGGTAAAAGATTAATAGAACTAATAATTTAAGTTAAATTTGCCAAGACCTGATCTCAAAACACGATTTGAAGTCACAAAGAAAACCTCCGAATCAAGGAAATCCTGTAAGTCTAAGGATATATGTTTAAAAGTATAAGACTTGAATAACTGGGTTCACAAAGTTTCAGAAATCCATCAGGAGCCTGTCCTGATCACCACATATGGTGTTACTCATAGCACGATAGCCTTGTAGTTGGGGCAAAAATAAAACTAGTCAATAAGGAGAAAGCTCCTCTCAGTGGAAGAGGTAAGCACATTATAGTACAGAGGTGTCTGGACCAATAGTTAATATAGTCTGGGATGAAGGATACATTGCTCAGTGGATAGGAATAAAAGGTAGTTGGATGCTAGCCAGTAGTAGGAGGTCATCTGAAAGAAGGAGATAGTATTAGATTGTTAAGTGGTTGCAAGGGAGGGAAGTAGTAAATAAGTGGTAGTAGGGTATTAGCTGATAAGAACAAATGAGAAGAGAGAGGAGGGGTATACACAACATTGCTGAAACAACTATAAAATTGGGTTTATGTCTTAACTATATGGCCTCCTTGAGTTCTCAACACTCACTATTATATTCCTGAAGTTCCATTATAGTTCTCAGCTCAGAGAGAAATAAGGTTACTTTGGGGATTGGATACTACTACCTATAAGATGTAAATGAGAGGAGAGTGGTGAAATTGACTGTGGCTTGTTAAGGAGACCAGAATAATTCCTAGTTTCTTTGAGAAGATGTAGGTGGAATCCAGTATAATTGTGTACAAATAATGATATTTCTAGCTATTTGTTTTAGGAGAAATGTAGAAATCAAACTGTATTAGTACTAAGCAAGGTTAAAGAAAAAGCTGTGTAAAAGTAAAAACAAATATTATAAGATGTTAGCAGAGGTAGGAAGAGGATTACAAGAGGATATATCTTAAGAGAGAAGGCAGGAGTAGTCTTCCAACTTGATGGGAGAAGGAAAAGTAATAGCATAGTAACTTCCCTAATAGAGGGACTAGATATAAGCAGTGGTGAGAAATGACTTTGATATTAAAGTCTTGTAAATCAGAAATAAAATTCAATCACTCTTTTTCCTTACATCTTCTATCACTTCCCCTGATATGGTACTCTCTACAATTATAGCATATTCACAAATTTTCCATACTTGATTACATTCCAATATATTCTACTATTACCTTACCACTTTCAACCATATCAAATACTGCACTCTAACATATCTGGGAGTTGGTCTATATCTTCCTTGTTTCAAATTCTGAATATGTGCTTTATTGTCATTAAATACTTCCACCCAGAAGGTTTTCTGTACAACATCCACATTATTCTCCATCCACTGACTTCAAACCCCCTCATACCATAATGTCTCTTCAACTGCCAAGGCTCTTGCTGCAAACACTGCCTTTGCTGTCGACTTGGCAGTAGTATTTGGCTGCACTGATTGTCAAATGATGCCAGAACTGCCAATATCCTGAATCATCAAACCTAATGTAGATTTCATCCGAATCCTTTTACTAGCAAAGTCTGCAGCAGCATATGTTTTTAGATTCTTTGCTACCTGAATACTGCTGAGCCCGAGATTCCATTTCTTGCTGCCCAGAACTTAGTACAGTATATGTTGCAGAGTACCTCTGTGTTCTATGTTAGGATTGACTGCAAATCTCCCTCAATACCCTGCTATAAATCCCAGATCTGGGCAGCAGGTAAAGAAAGCATATATTATACTCTCTTCTGGTTCTGAATATAAGAATCTGTTGTGTAAATCATCTGTATCAGCACAAGGCAAGATCCTCTAATTTCTGGTCTATGGGGTAGTTGCTTGTTTGTATTATG